ACACACACACACACACACACACACACACACACCATTTACAAACTCCAACAGCTACAAAGTACCCAGGTTAGTTCCCGTGGTCCCCGAGGGATGCTAACTCTACAGTTTTCTATGTCTGGAAGACAAGAGCTTCAAGGTTTGAAATGCATGTGTTCAATTGGTAAGCACTTACCTGATTCAGTTTGGGTAAATCCTTTGCGTTCTTGGACTTAGCTTTATTGTCTGAAGTCCAAAGTCTCAAGTAGTTACGGTTTTCTTGAGAATTTGCCCTCTTCCCTAAAACGCAAATGTTAAGAAATGAGTGACCAGAGGTCAAGACACTAGTCTGCAAGTGTCCGGAAGCCAAGCTACAGAGGAGACGCTCAGTACCTTTGTCCGGCTTTAGACTCACGGTCACGAAGCCGTCATCAGTGCTCTGTTTGCTTCTGCTCTCTAACCCAACAACTGCCGGCAGAAGGAAAAATGAAAATTGACATAACATGTCATAGAAAGTACAAAAACGTTGTCAGATTTTGCAAATAAAAATACAGGGCAGTCACAGGTCAACATGAATTTCAGATAAACAAAAAAAGATTTTTTTTAGTGTTTCCCATGTAGTATTTTTCAGCACAAGTATGTCCCAAATATGGAATGGCAAAAGCTAATTATGCTAAAAAAAATAACTTGTTGCTCATCAGAGATTCACATTTTACGATGTGTCTTATATTTTATCTGGCCACCCTGCCTCTGGGTCATAGGTTCCCAAACTTATTTGGCCTACCACCCCCTTTTCTGGAAGTAAAAAAAAAGTTGACTCAGAGTTCCCTGGCCAAGAAAAACCATTGTGCTAAAGCTCACAATCTAGGATAAAGTGTAGGTATCTACTTTTGCAGCCCCCTGAAAAGGCCCAGTGCCCCCAAGGGGCACCGCTCTGGAGAGCACTACTTTAGGTGAAGGGCTTAAAGACTGCGATGTTTGCCCTAGTGAATACTGATTTCCCTCTCCTGACTGCTAGATTTAAAGAGCCCTGCTGTGTCCTGGTTATGCTTTGGGCTGCTAACTGCAGGGTCAGCGGTTCAAAACCACTAGCTACGCCGAGGGTGAGAGATGGGGCTTTCTACTCCTGTGAAGAGTTAGCTTCAGAAACAAGGGCGGTTCTACCCTGTCCTATAGGGTCACTATGTCAGTAGGGACTCGATGGCAGCGAGTTTGGTAGCGTAGTGGGGTGCACTGGACTGCTAAGCACGGGTCAGCACGTTGCACCCTCCTGCCTCTCTGTGGAAGACAGAGGACAGAGTCGGCTTCTTGACACACAGCCTCAGAAATCCTCTGGAGCAATTCTGCTCAGTCCTGGAAGGTGGCTATGCATCCGCGTCAGCGAGTTGTTCAAGCCACTCAATTAAACAAGCATCTCTACTAAGGATTATACTTATTGTATAATCTGTATATTAGCATACAGACTATTGATTACTGCTGGCCACTGGGGGAAAAAAACCCAAGAACTCACTCTTTGAAGGAAACTAAAATCTAGGTGGGTTAAAAACCACCAGCAAGCACCCCCACCAAAAACATTTTGGGCAAACTTTTGCCAAAATTTTAACTCACTGCCATTGAGTTGATTCCAACTCGTGGATGTGGGACAGGGCAGAACTGCCCCTGTGGGTTCCGAGACCGACGCTCCCCGCGAGTAGAAAGCCTCCTTTCCCCACCGAGCGGCCCAGCACACTGCCCAAAGCGCTATCCTGTTCTTTCAGCCCCATCGCTCGCCATTTCAGAAAGCTGGCTGTCAAGGAGCTCATTTGCAAGTGCTTTCTTTGTCCTTAAGTTAGGGCATTTACAGGTCACGGATGGACTTCCAAAGAGAGGGGTGGAGAGCAGTCTCAGTTTCCTGTTCAGCTTGCTGGCGGGAAGGGTGCCTTCCGGCACTCCCTCAGCCATCTCCAGAAGGTGGCGCGCTCGCCAGGGATGTGACCATCACTGCCCATGATGATCCATTCATCTCGGCAGTTTCTAAGACAGAGCGAGGACTATGTAGTATACCTGACTAAGAAACAAACAACAACAAAGCCCTTTTCCCGAATTGCTGGAAATGATTTAAGAAATAAATATTCACATATAGTTAATGTATGGGAAACTCCTAAAAGGATAGATATACCATATGTGAGAACTATGTTTTCAAAGAATTTTTAATGATATGCTCACTAGATTTTAAGTGGAAAAAAAAGTGATATATAAAATTGTATAGTCAGTTTGATATCAATTACATATATTATCATTGTAAGTACATATGTCCTAGGAACTAAAAAAAAGTAAAGGGGCTTCAAAAAGTTTATGGAAAAGTGGGATGAAAAGACAATGGAATTTTGAAGTGATCTTTTTTAGAGCTTCCTTCTACTTCAAGACAGTGATAGGTGTTAAGACATCTCCGTGTGCATCCTTTCCTTAAATTCGTATCTACGCTGCATATACAAAGGGGCTTTGAAAAATGGAAATGGAATTAAGAGAGAGTGGATTTTTCCCGTGAACTTTTTGAACAGAATTCGATGGTCAACAATGTTATGAGGACTGTCAGGAAGGCTAATAAGGTGTTCTGCCAACCATGTCCTGCATCATCTCATTCGATTCCCACGACACGCAGAACGACAGCTCTCATCTCCATTTTCCACACAAGGAATCTGAGACTGAGACTCAGGAACCAACCTGGGCTCATATACACAACAATGGGCAGAGCAAATATTCGGGTGAGCTCTAGCCCTTAACCTCAGAGCCTCAGTGCTGGTAGTAAAAATAATAAGAACGAATCTGGCTTTCTCCTCTCCACTCAATCACGTAAGGCTGAAGCTGTGTTTATTTTGAGGATCAAAAATTTTAAGAAGCAATAGAAAACTCACAATTAATCTCAGACTTGGATGAAGACACCGAGTTGCCCTACTGACAAGGTAAATCACTGACCGCAGTAGAAAACTGAGGGACATTGCTCAGGATCACAGAGACAACTGGTATAAGACTTAGTATTTGCAGACACAAACAACACTGCTAACCATTCTGTACGTAGACCTAGCAATCATCTAGAGCAAGGGGGGAGGCACCTTGTGTGTCCAGGGGCAGGCAGTAAACATATTCGGCTTAGACGGTAACATATGAGACAACGGTGTTCACGTCATTAACTGACTAACTTTGGAAGCAAGTCCTCTTGTCGTAGCAAGCTGTGTCGAAGAGGAAGAGAGTGCCTTTGATGAGAAACGCCACTTACCATGCGTACATTCTGGGGTGATATCCTCAAAGAAGTACTGAGTTGCTTCAAAAGCGGAATCCGGCTCATCTTGATCAGAGGACGGCTCTAGAGAGGAGGAGGAAGATAATTCTTTCTCATGTAGGCAGAAGCATGGCTCAGTGAAAGTGTGATTTAATTATTATTTTTTAAATATGACACCAGAGGAAGATGAGGAGCTATAGTTCCAGAGGTGGGACAGGCTCAGACCTGAGGGGCCTTGAATGCTGCTGCCGCTGAAACCTTAGCAACAAGGGGAGGTGGGTCTCTTTTGCTTCAATCCTAATTCACCTTTCTTTTTAATTATCCCAAATAATTTGAATTTTCCATTTCTGGGGGACTTTACAAACCCCCCGGAATAGTGTTTTAAAAACCAAATTGCAGGAAATCTATGGATAAACACAATTCCCAATCTATGCTTCTTGTGTTAGCTGTAACTGAGGGAATTCCGACCGAAGATGATCCCATATGTGCCCAATAGAATTGTTCAATCCATTTATATAGGTTTACTCGACTCACACTATTTTTAGTGCTAATCGCTTATTAATTTATTTATCTAACTTAGTATTCCCTAGTACTTCTAGCATGTATTTATATCATGGACTAAACTGTGCCCTTCAGTTCAATAACATATATTTACTCACTGGCTCAAATGGAAGCCAACCATGTTTAAAACTGAGCTCTTGCCACCTGCAACTTCCACACCTCCCACTTGTCCCACCGAGGCTGCAACTGAGCCCCCCTCCCCTCTCCCTGGCGCCCACAGAGAGGCTTCAAGTCGGCTCCTGGTTACGAGTGCCGCCGCTGCCCTGGGGAGCTCACTTACCAGGCAAGACGTGCATTCTGTACAGGAGTTTGAGTTTCTCCGTGAGATCCCCATGACACGCGGCGCCTACAAGTCACAGAAACAGCCCCATCAAAGACTCTGGGTGTGCCAGTGACCCCTCAAGGCTCAGGAAGTGGGAAACAACCCAGGATGGGACAGAGGTCCTTGCGTCTGGAGAAAGGCCTCAGGATGTTGCAGCACTGTAAGGCCATGGCGTCCCCTCCCCAGCCCACCCCACACAGTGAATGCAGGACCCGCGCGATGGAAGGATGGATGCCATCCCCCGCGGTGCGTTATGAATCAGACACTTGTCACCCAGAGGGTTCTCCCTGGCTGTTCAGAAGGCGATCTCCGGCCTTTCCCTGGAGTCTGTATTGGGCGACCTGTGGAAGGCTCTGCGGAAACCAGTGCAGCAGTCCAGCAACACGCAAGCCCCCAGGTGGGGGCTGCACAAGAGGTCCACGGGCCTAGAATCGAACCGGGGTCTCCCACGTGGAAGGCAAGAATCCCACCACTGAACCACCACTGCACGGAGCAGACCCTTTGCACTTTGTATGCTATCTGAATTAAAGCCAATGAAATCATTCACACTTACTTTTGTTTCTACCTATAAGACATGTCTCCCCTTGCCCCCTTCCTCCTTATTATATTAAAATGTTTTTATTCTCATCCAAAGGTGATATTGTAAAGGATCCTTTGAGAGCAGTGATTACTTTGGGGCAAAAAAAATTAAAATTAAAATCAGGCCAAAGCGGCCTTCAACTTTATCTAGATTGCTTTACTATCATTTTGAGTAAGGGGATGGATTTCTAAACTAATTATCTAAGTAACCATGAAGAACTCACTCCCTGCTATGGATCGATTCAGACTCATAGCAACCCTATGGACAGAGAAGAGCTGCTCCCAGGGGGTTACGAGGTTGTATGTCTTCCCGGGAGTAGAAAGCCTCGTTGTTCTATGGAGGAGTGGCTGGTAGGTTTGAAATCGCTGACCCTGGGTTTAGCAAATGAACACATAGCCCACTCTGCCGCCCAGAGGTCCTTAAAAAAACAATCGTTTTTTGCCGTCCTCAGCGTGGAGTCCTGTGAGCAGAAGGGACCTTCATGACAGACAGCGTCCAGTTACTCCTGGCTCCACCATGTGCTAACCTGTGCCTTCCACTCAGTTCAATAGCCTAGTTATTGACTGTGAAAGACTGATGTCCTAGCAAGTGACAGAGCTTGTTTCGCAACTCCTGTCGTTAGTTGAAAATGATCATGATCAGAGTAAGGAGGGAGATGACAAAAGATACCCACAGCCCCACCACAAACTCCACCTCCAGGGGGCCTGGACTCCAGTCTCAGCGCTTCCACTTTAATGAACCATTGTAGGAGCAGAGAGCCTCATTTTTCTCCTGAGGAGAGGCTGGTGGGTTTGAACTGCCAACCTTGCAGTAAGCAGTCCAATGCTTACCAAGCTAAGTTCACAGAGAATCAGAGAGCAGCATGCCGGTACATGCTGTTCAAGTGCCACCTGTCATTATTGATTGCCTCACAGGATTGTTGTTTGGATTAAAGGACAGAGTGCACGTTGGTCTAAAACATCCACAACGGGGTCTGGGCTCAACAAGTGCTACTTCTATTCTGCCTTCAACCTTTTAAGCAGATTCACGGAGGCTTTAGAGAAAATAATGATCTTAACTTTTTTTCCCTTAAACACCATTTTCATCTAGCCTGTAAGGTGCCCTTATGGTGCAGTGGTTACATGTTGGGCTCCAATTCTCAAGGTCAGCAGTTCGAAGCCACCAGCTGCCCTTCAGGAGGAAGACAGGGCTCAGAAACTCAGGGGGCAGGTCCACCCTGGCCTACAGGGTTGCTATGAGTTGGCATAGACTGAATGGCATTGGGTTTGGGTTTGGAAAGTCCTCTAGAAATTAGATAACCTTAGGGAACCCTTTGGACTCCCTGTCGGCGCCTTTCCTTGGGTGGGTCATTAGACTGCACAGCTGTTACGGCTTTTTAGCCCAATGCGGAAAGCACTGTGAAACATCATGACATTTTCTATATGACAGAAACGTGATGCCGAGTCTGTTCGATTCACGGTGCTCCTGTGTGTAACCAATGAAACACCGCCCGGTTCTGCGCCCCCTCACAGTTGTTCGTCTGTTGTGTTCACTGTTGTAACCACTGTGTCAAACCCATCTCAGGAAGGGTCTTCCTTCTCTTCTGTTTTCCGCCCGATCCTCTACTCTACCATGAATGACGTCCTTCTCAGGGACGTGTCCCAAGTCCGTGAGGCAAACCTTCACTGTCCTTGCTTCACAGGCACCGTCTGGTGCACTTCTTCTGAGACCGAGGGGCTGATTCTTCTGGCCGTGCCTGCTACAGTCAGTCTTGTGCGTCAATGCCACAGCTCAAAGGCATCGATTCTCCTGCAGTCTTCCTTATTCACGGCCCAGCTGTGAATGCGTGCCAGTGACTGAAAAGACCATGGCTTGTGTCCGCTGCACCTTCGCTTTCAAAGGGACATCTTTGCTCGTTAGCACTTTAAAGCGGTCTTGGACAGCCGATCTATTCAATGTAATATTGAATATGACAATGTAATATTGAATATGACAATGTAAGATCTTGATCTTCCCACTACCACCTTTCTCTCTGTATATATAAATATATATTCTTTAAAAGAAAAGTCAATCTACTCAAGCATTTCTTTTGCTTCTTGTAAGGTTTTCCTGGTCTGTGGTTTCAGTGCTCAGTCTAAGTTAGCGATTTATTGCCCTGCAGATTCTCCGATAATGTACTTTTAACTAGGATAGGGTCATTTAATGATCTGTTCATCTAATGTGGAAGTGGAAGCCAATCGTACAGTTTGCAAACCTTGCCATGTCGTTCACTGCCCTCTCAACCCAGTGTTCTAAGGCAGTAGGGCCGTGGCCCTGTGGGGCAGCACTGCTGATCACCGGGTGACCTCTACCTGTGCCCCTCCCTCCACCGGCTCCTGTCCCCGGGCTCCTTGTCCTTACTTAGCCCAGCGACAAACTCCCGGAAGTTAATCAGCGAGTCTCCATTTTCATCCAGCAGCTGGAACAGGCGGGAGGCCAGCACCTCCGAGTGGGCTCCGCACGCCCAGGGGAAGAGCAGGGCAAACATGCCCTTGAACTGCTCAAAGTCGATGCGGTACTGCTCCAGGTAAGGCAGGCTGGGGTCGTGCCGGTCCAGCGCATTGCTGCTCCCGCCCCAGTAGCAGCTGGTTAGATGTTCTGCCTGAGAAAGCAAAGAACAGGCCGATGAGGGGGAGACTCCATCCCACAGCCAGACCAGGCGGTTTGGGGAACGGCCTTAGGTCACCCTGTGGGTATTCACTGGGCTTTCGGTCAACGTGTGCCTTCCCCGCTACCCCGGCCTCCCTCTGTGGCCTCTTCATTCTGCATTTATTGCCACCTGCCCATCCACTCCAGGCCAGCCGCTCCTGCAGTTGTCATCTGGCAAAAAGGATGTGGTTCGGTGACCGGAGGCAGGTAAAGAAAGAGAGGGAAAGAGGCCCCCTTTCTCCCCCTTAAAGCCCAGACTCACATACATTGTAAGGCAGCATTCCCATGATGAGGACACACTTTTAAAAAAATGTACGGTATAATTTCAAAGACTTAGGAATTCTCACCGGAAACACTTCTATAAAATGGGGGATCTTAGTCAAGGCCACTCAGCCAGTTCGTGAGTGCAGAATCATGAGGAGGCGTTAGCTTTCCTGACTCCCAGTTTAGGGACCCATCTTTACGCCTAGCCCCTGCCTTCCCTGGTCACAGAGCCACACAATGCTCATCACACACGGACAAAGCTACCGGCTGGCATGCTTCCTTCTATCCACTGGGAATGCTACATTACTGTACACCTTGGAGCTGCTTTATTTTTAAAATTCCTATTTCTTATTGCTTCAAACCCTCCGTAAATATGGTTCTCACCTCCCCCACCCCAGCCCCTTCTTCCTTCAGTGGGTTGATTTCAATGCACCGTGACCTGTGCAGCAGAGGGTAACAGCCCCACATGGTTCTCCAGGCTGTAATCTTTACAGGAACAGACCGCCTCATCTTTCTCCCATGGGTGTGAACTGCTGACCTTGTAGTTAGCAATCCTACTCTTAATCCAACTGCCCTTTGATCCATGTACAAGTTCCTCTTGAGCACAATTAGATTTGTCTAAGAAGAAGTACAGCCAGGATGCTGCCTCGAGGCCAGGCTCGTTAGGCTTCATCTCACACACCTGAGACATGTTGTCAGGAGAGACCGGCCCTGGAGAAGGACGTCACGCTTGCTAAAACAGGGGGGCCGTGACAAGGGGGAGGCCCTTGACAAGACAGACGGACTGCGGCTGTGAGTGGGCTCGGCTCCCACATAGGACAACTGAGGATGGTGCAGGACCAGGCAGCATTTCATTTTGTTGTATTTTACCTGTGATATTTATAGCATACTTATGGCAAAAATGTTTTTCTAGAATAAAAGCGTATTCATTACCTTGTCTTTTAATATGATGCTTTCTTACTAAGAAATAAAATTATGAGGCTAAATTCTAAAACAGAAAGCAACATTTAGCCAATTGAGCTTCTCCTGAAACAGTCCAATAACCCTACTTCTTAATTTAGTTAGCTGTATATTATCTTCCTTTAAATGTGGTAACATAGGGAACCCCATTGTCACTGAGGGCTAAGCAATGGGCTCCTAACCAATAGGCTGGTGGTTCAAACCCATCAATTGCTGCATGGGAGAAAGATGAGGCTGACGGATCCCATAATGATTCACAGTTTTGGGAATTCTCCTTAGAGCCATCATGAGTCAGACTTATTCAGTGACACTGAGTTATTCAGCAGAATATAAGAAATGACCACTCCTAATCACTCATGGCAGAATTTGAACTTAATTGACATTATGACAGTGAGTACTATAAAGTCATATCACACTTTCTTAGGTCCAAGGAAACAGTTACAATTTCAGTGGGTTGAAAGACCGCAAACCTCTCGGTCCTGAATTATACAAATACATTTATTTTTCGAAGTAAGCCCTCCAGTTTGGGATTTTTAGTTCTATTGTCATTTCTATGCATGGGAATACCTCACAATACCCTTACAGAACAAGGGAAGGCAAATGCAACTACAGAGGTGACTCCCTTCAGTGCACAGGTGTTTGGGTTTCAGGTACCTTGAACAGAGCATAGAGCTCTTCCAGCTCGTCCATGGAGAAGGAGGTTTCGGTCACAATGGTGCGCACCTGTAGAAGCAGGAACACAGAGAATTTCCCAGACTCACAAGGGGCCCTGTCAGGGAGGTTCCTGCGCGTCTTCTTGCAGACCGGCGTCAGTTCTGCCCAGAAGGAGTTCATGGGCCAGTAGGTGGAGGCGAAAGGATGGAGGAAGACTCACCACGTTCCGCTTGGTGGTGTCCTCCAGGGTCTGGATCACCTTCAGTCTCTGTTTGAACCTCATCTGCTCAATCACATCTGCCCGGATGGTCCCAAATTTCTGAAACGAAACAATAACAGCGTTTCTGAAAAAAAAAATTAAAACACAAGAAATCCATGGCTGGACACATTGAGTCGACAGAATCAGAGGGGACACAACTCTGACACACGTGCGGTGGTCTGCCACAGGGCGGGCATTCTAGACGATTCCTTTCTTTACGGAAGGGGGAAGTTTTTCAAACCCACAGGGTCTTCCTTAAGTATATACCTATATATTCACGAAGGTCGGGGTTACGTACGGCTGTGAAGGCCACTTGTGCAGGGAGGCCAAAAAAAAGGTTTAAAGGGAGCGGTGTTTTTCACAAGAGGAAAGGCTAAGTCTGGTCTGGGAAACGAGGAGCAGCGTCAGTGTGAGGCTCCGCTCTCCTCATCTCTAATTCAGCAGCCTTCGTCCTCCTGGTCCAGAAATCGATATGTGTGTCTCTGGCTGGCAGACACTCTCTCTTCAAACTCCAAAATAGTTCGTGCAGCCTAAGTTGGCTGTTGATCTCAATTTCAAAAATTAAGTGAAACGTCCTCTCTGAGGGCCGGACATCATGCCTGGTAGAGTAGAGGGCCAGCGACAAAGAGGAAGGCCCTCAGTGGGGCGGACGGACAGATGGACGGCGTTGAACACAGGGTGGGTGAGCTAGAGCTGATTCAGGGACATCTCCTTCCAGCAATGACAATTACGTACCCAACCTCCTCTTAGGGGCGGAGGGATTAGTTTCAAGCAGGCAGTTCTTCCTGTGCTGCTTTGCTGCCCTGATGGCGGATGCCACCAAACAGCCCTTCATGTCTCCTCGATGTTTCCCTTTCAACCACCCCGCCTTGGGGCACTGGGCAAGAGGCCGGAGGAAAGGAGGTGGAGATGGCTCTGCCCCATATTCCACATCGCCGTTCTCTAACCTGTCGGCCTCCCACCATTGTTCCTGCCTGGCAGAAGAGGTCCCCAGCTTTGCTGGGCAGCCTCTCCGTGGGCAGCTTTATCTTTCAGTGCTTTCCTTTGTGTTGCCGGGAAGGCAGATTAAAAAAAACCACAAAAAAACCAAAACGATGGGGGCCAAGCTCCATCAAGTTCAGGAGGCTTTATTTGCCTTTCTACATCCTCCTGAGAAGACTTTACATATTTAAATGCTGTCTGCCCACCACATGGATATGCATTGAGCAAAAAGGCATCCTTGCTAAGATCCAGGATCCAGGATCCATTGTTTTTAAAGACTACTGCATCGGCCCGATTCTGCTCAGATGAATGTCTCTTCACTTGTGGCACGTTCTGCAGGGGTGCAGGACAGGGGTCCACACTGCTGGCCTGAGGACTGAGCACCGCTCAGAACACGGAGGTTTTTCTTTCATCAGAAAATCCCCACCAGCTGCTGTGGCCTCTGAAGGACCGCAGGAGACCAAGCCTGTGCTGGTGGCCCATGTAGACAGCTCTGGTACAGAGGGCCCCCTCTGTGCCTCACCCACTGGCAGCACCAGCTGGGGCCTGGAAGTGGTGAACCCCAAAGCCACCAAGGCCCCATCTGGTGGCCTGGGTGCTCTGGACGAGATGCCACTGTCTGCAGGCCAGCAACCTGTATGTGCAACCAGGGCGAGCTCTACTTCCCCATGGACTGCCTCCTGTGGGCTCTGCAGGATGTGCTAGGGGCATCGGGGGCTGCTCTCTGCCACATGCTCCGACCCGAAGGAGGAGGGCAGGAGCCCGTCAACTGCCATGGTGGCCAAGCTGTCTCCTGTCCACCAGCGAAAGTGTGAGCGTGTCCCACTGGCTCTGTTCTGTCATGAGCCCAGCCAAGCTGTCCCCTGCAGCAGCTAACCACTCCCCGCAACCTTCACCATGGACCAGCCTGGTGACACCCTCGACCTGATGCTGACTTACGTCCACCTTCAGAAACAGCTGTCTTCCTGCTCCTGTGCCACCCACCCCGCAGGTGTTCGGCCAGGAGGTGAGCTGCACAATCAAGTTCAACCAACAGATAGGACAGGGTCAACATTCAGTCCAGCCTCGACAGGCAGCTTCTCTGAGGCGTGCAGGGAGACGCCAAGTTCTCAGCTGTGCTGGCTGTCTCTACTGCCAAGTCTGCCT